GCAGGGCACCATAGGCGGCCTTCGGATACACTTTGCGAAGGCGGCTTCGGCAAACAAACGACTGATCTCGGCATATAGATTGTATCCACCTTCAGGCTTCCCAGCTACCCATAAAAAGAGTTCTTCCAGAAGCGTAAATAAACACTGATGCAGCGCAGGGAGAGGGCTATTGCCATTTCTGGCTTCCCTGTTTAGAGTGAAGTGGGAAACAGAGATGTCTGAAATACAACATTTCAGCACCATGTTGAAATTTAGAGTACATTATTATACACAGGTTATCAGGACACAATGGAGGGCAAGATGCTATTTCTCTTCCACTGCATTTTCTGATTGGAGAGACTTGTGGTTTCTACAGGGCATTTGACAAGAAAACTACAGATTTGATTTGTGATTCCTGCAGGATCTACTGTGATCGTCTTTCAAAAGTGCAGCCTGATGCTCGTCCAATTATGGTGTTCATTTTTAGGTGTATGCTCTTCTCAACTTGGAGAGGTGTAGTAAAATCATAGAATTACAGAATAGTTTGAGTTGGAAAGGACCTTTAAAAACTATCTAATTACAACCTCCCTGCCATAGGCAGGGACACCTTCCACTAGACCAAGTTGCTCAAAGCCCCATCCAACCTCACCTTGAACACTTCCATAGCTTTTCTGGGCAACCTGTTCTAGTGCCTCACTGACTTCATAGTGAAGAATTACTTCCTTATATCTAACCTAAATCTACCCACTTCCATTTTAAAGCCAGCATATTTTGTTATACAGAGACAGCCTCATTCAGCCATTCTAAATTCCAGATTTTTTTGATACTAAGACAGCTAATATTTTAGGCTTGTCCTGTAGTCTTTTTTTTTATTATTTATTATTTAGGGGCTTAAATGGTACATTTATGTACAGAAGAAATTTGTATGGTGACTGAGATCTGATAAAACTTATTGTTGCTGTCTGAACCTTTTTACTGTCAGTTATCATAGGGGGTATTTTACCCATTTTAAAACTCAGAACCTGCATAATCCAGAGGAATAACATGATGCACTCTTTGCTATGCATAGAGGTGCCAATAATATACAGTTAAATAATCTGCTATAATAAGAGGGGATCTCTTATTAGTAGTCTTCCCTCCTTCACTTCTATCCCAATCCTCTTTTCTCCTTCTGCAATACTTCCTGGTGAAGTTCTAAAGGGGAGAGTTGAGAGGGAGGGAATGAATACCAAAAACACAGTTAACTGAATTCTTGTTCACTGTACTGTGATGTGGAGAGAGCAAGAGGTAACTGCAGAAAAACAGAAACATGAGATGTCTGATACCAGCTCTGATCGCCTTCATAATTAGTTTTACTGCAGAAACTATTTTTCTGTCAGTTTGTATAAGTTAAAACTGTAGGATCTCATAAAGCATGACAGTCACATATGGGTGTCTTCCTGATGGGAGCTAGAAGTGTTTAGCTTGCTGCAAGGTATAAAGGGCACTTTGCTGTACCAGGTGTGGCTACCAGGGCTCCTGATGTGCTTAGTCAGAGATTAGGTTCCTTGTGGCCTGTCCTTAGCTCCAGATTTTGCCCTAGAAAAGAAAGTGTTGCCTTTAATCCCAGCTCTAAACATCCCGCTTCAGGCCTGCACCTTCTTTTGGCTGCTCAGCAACCCTCTATATCTTTGGATCACAGAGACCCATGGAGACAGATTTAGCCTTTCAACTTCTTCACCTTCTTAATTTCTAGCTTATAATATGAGAATTAAAAAGAGCCCAGACAAGGTGTTTTGAGGGTGCTACAGCAATAGTTTGTTAGTATTTATGTAGCAGCTTGGAATATGCAAGGACAAAGTACAATAGCAGTTGTTATTGAAGCTTTTGGAAAAGATCTTTCAACTCACAGATTTATCTTCAAAAGTAAGCTATAAATTTTATCCAGTAGGATTTCCTTTTCTCAAAAGAGGCCTTCATAGCCCATTCTTACTTTCAATAACACCTCCTTATACCCTTAGAAACCAAAAGCACTGTTGAGTGGTCGTTCCATATGCACCATCGCTCTATTGAGATGTCAGTTTTACGGAAAGGGAGTCCGTCCTTCTGGTCAGCTTTGCTCCAATACTGAAAGGTAAACTGTGTGAGAAAACCCCACTCACAGTTATGAGCATTCAAACTGAAGAGGCAATGGTAGAGCAGTCTTTGGCATCTATGTGTATTACAACTAGCTTTTAAGTTGTCCTACCTTACTTAATGCATGAATTAACAAAATTAATGAATAAAACCCACTTTAGCTTCTAACTCTTCAAGAATCATTTTGTTTCATTTTCACAACAAAGTAGGAAACTCAGAAAGGAGTTCATAACAGCAGAATCTAGCAAACTCATATCTAAGAAATGTTAACTTCCAACTTAATTACAGTTTACTTTCTTATTCAGTGTGGAGATACCTCTGAGTGATGTGTACACAGAGCTATTGAACATGTAAGT